CCCACTTACACTAAATGAATTGCAAACTACAGAAAGGAGACGACACATTTCAAAAATTGTCAAAAAAAAACTTTTTAATTGAATTTTTTCTGCGGTATTTTCTTCAGAATACGTTTTATAAACCAACGGGAAATTTTGCATTTTGTTTGTTTTTTAATTGGTTGGCTGTCAAAATCCACATTTCGCAGTAAAATAAAACGAAAAGCATTAATTTGCACTTTTTTTTATGAAATTGCATTTTTTTCAAAATTCTAAGTTTTCTTTGGGAATGAATTTGATTGTCTTTAGTATGTCTGTCATTTTTTTCTTGGAAATAGGTAGCTTCTCGGTTTATAAATTCCCTGCAAACTATTTCATGGACGCAAAAAATCGTGAAAAGGTAGGAGGCGATAGAAAAAGACTTCTTTTGAGTGCGCGGCAATTTTTTTCCGTAATATTCATTATTAAGTAAAATCCGGGCTACGAGTTTTTATAATCGTTAACTGATAATTTCTTATTAGCAGGGCATATAAGAATGTCCCCTCATAGTAAAGTATGTTTGTATTTATTTGAATCTTTTCAGCTCAACCAAGCTGATTAAAAAGCGAATCAGTGTGTTGTTTTTGTTTTGCCCACAACAATTATCGCAAAAAATATCACATCTTTTATACTTCTTATTCTCCTTCTGATCTTTGTAATGCGTAAGAAAGGAACAAAAGTCATTTGCACCTTTACCCGCATCTTCTAAGGTATACGTAGCAAGTTATATTTTTGGATTTTAAATCTTGAATTCCAAAGGTACAAACGGTCAGCTGGCGAAAATAATATGAATCCTATCCTGGAATGTTGGGTAAACAAACATTTACTATATAATCAATGCAAAATCCATCTTTTTAACTAATTTTCTATTGCATAAAATTTCTTGCAGCTGCTACCCTCCTGGCATTTTCATTCAGAGTTTCACTTCAACGAATTTTTCGACTCGTGTAGTGCGATGCTTTTCCAGGGTAGGACTCAATGTGTTTACGAGTACTAAGAATGACACGTGCTTTTATTTCATTTAATGTTTTTTTGTCTCTAAAACTTTTATGATTTTTTTAAGAGAGATACACTACGCTCGCAACGTTTCTCAGATACACCGTAAACGGACAACAAGGCCCTTTTGCATGTCTGTGTTCTACTGTTTCCATCGAGTACAAAATATTTGACAGTTAATGCTTCGGTTTACTAATATCTGCGATATATTGCCTCTCCTTCGTAAACCTGTGTGTATTTCTACCAACCCTTACAAGTGCAAATGTTGTTGGTCCTCAGCTTCAAAATTACAAAATGATGAAGCATGTTTTTCATCTGCACTCAAAACACTTAAATATTTTTTTCAGCAACTAAAAGGATAACAATAAATTTACCACTGACCTCCACAAAATAAAAATAGTTGTAACTTACCAATCATCACCAGCAACCACTTTGGCAGGCCTAACTTTTCCACAATAATTTACATGTTGCACTCCATTCACTTCTGCCTGCCTAATAACATTTCTCTTTAAATGGTCACTATCGACCTTTTTTCTTTTTTTTTTTTTTGTTGGTACTTCTAATTCACTTTCTGAACTCTTTTTAACCTCTTTACTATAAAGCTATAAAAATGAGACTAAACCAATACCAAACCAAGCACGTGTTGTTCTATTTTCAGCGCATTGAAAAGATTACAATTACAAATTAAAATCTAGTATTTTAACAACTCCACTTTTTGACCTACGAAGTGGCCGAATGTAATTTGATTAGGCGGCTCAATTAAATTTCAAAGTCAATTATTTACTGCAGAAAGGTGACATCTACCGGATATGTCTCCTTTTTGCAGCAAGCGAAAGTTAAATCCCTGTATAATAGCTAACGCGGTTAAGCAATGTGCATCGTTTCTGCAGCAAACGATGTGTTCACCCTTTTACAGTCGAAAAATATGGCAATCAAAAAAATTAAAATGTCTTCTTCCTGCAATTATCAATTCATCATTATTTTAACTTAAAGCAAGTTGACAGTTGACTAATGTTTCTGAATCCTTTTGGGAATTTGTTTTAATTTATTTCCACCAATTATTAGTAAATCTCATCCTATATTCTTTTACAACACATGAAAAATATTTCAATAAATGGATCAAATTTCACACGAAATTCATCGTATCATCATTTTTGCTTATCATGAATAAATCTGTAAATGTTTCTGATAAACTATAAAGTTTTCTACTATTGGATTTAGATTGGATTGGATTTTCAATAATATCATTTTTTGTAGTGATGGTTACTAGTTCGCGGTTTATGATTTGACGACAAACATAATTTTCTTTTTAATCGTGGTGTTATTACACAGATTTCTTTTATTCTTTAATTTTGTTTAACTATTCCTTACAAAATTGTAATATCCGAAAAAATATTGTGGAAAAGCGCTTTATTGACGAAATAACAGTTAAAATCACCGACTCAGGTGAAGATTTTATCAATTTTAAAAGAAGACTGAAAAAATATGTTATTTAATTTAGTATTTTATTAATTTGGAAACAGTCGTAGAAGATAAAACATTATTAGGGAACAGAAAAAATATAATAACCATTTACTATAGGAAAACGTGGAATCATATTTCAATTATAGAATGAAAGCAGGGTTTATAGCTTCAGTTTTCTAAAAAAAGCTTACAGATATCTTCATCTTAGGATTAGACACAAAGTTAACAGAGATAAAAGTATGAATCTTCTACGTTGGCTTGATCCTTTTGTAATCCGTAAATTGCTTGTAAATTTCCACTAGCATGTTCCATCTATTACCCCCTAGATGGCGCTGCCTGTGACAAACAAAGCATTTCCACTAACAATAAAAGTTGACAATTCCTAGTTTTTGTAAATCCGTTTGGGAATTTTCCAGGCTGTCTTAGAATGACTGAGGTTGCAGAACTTAACTGTTTAATAAATCATGACTTCAATGTATTTCGATCTTTTTTCTACTCCACAATCTTAAATATCCACTTATATAGTTCATCAGGTAGACGCAAATGGGTCACTTTAAAACGCCAACACTCGTTCTGTACAAAACATTTTTATAATCAAATGCATCTTTTAGTATACACAGAAAGAATGTGTTAAGATGTGAATCTTTTTTTTTTGCACCCTTGAATTTATTTACGCCAATTATTATTAAATCTCCTCCATCAAACTCTATTTTCTTATAACACATGAAAAATAAATTATAAAGTTTTCTCCTTGTTTCCGAATTTTTTCTTCGAACATTTCAGTTATTGCGTGCATTCAATAATATCATCTTTCGTAGAATTTCCGACCTAAGTGATAGTTGCTGATCACTAGTTAACCGTTGCTGATTTTTAGAAAAACCATATTTTTTACTCATTTGTAATGCTGTTACAGGTGTTTTATTTATTGCTAATTGCGTAATTATTCCTTACACCTTGATGTTATCTGGAAGAAATTCAGTCCTAAATTGAAAAATATACTAGACAATATCTAGAAATTCTAAAATTTAAATTTCGATTATAAACGAAAAAATTCTAATACCCTAAGCGCGATTTAGTAACAACCGCGTACAAGAGAAATGCAGTTTATATTTTGTTGTTTTACCATACTACTCCGGTTGAAAGGAATTTTGTCGAAAAACCCTCAAATGCCATATGTGTTCCAGAAGACCGGCGCTTAATTGAAGAAGTAACACTTAAAATCACCGACCCAGATAAAGATTTTATCAATTTTAAAAGTGAGCTGATAACAATACGTTTACAGTAATAAATAATCTAAAAATAAAAATGTGTTATTGTTAATTTACCTTATAATAATTTCGAACAAACATTTACAATAATTATAATATTTTTCGTGAAAAATCAACCAGTTTTAATACGAGCGTTATATTCCTTAACGTTATAGCTTATAAATTAAAAAAATTTAAAGCCCATGGATACCCATAATATGAATCCTACATTGTGTTGTGTTCTTGGTACGATAGATTCAATGTGAGACTCAAAAGCCACTTCGAAGTCTAAGATAATGCCCTTACCGTGCTCACATCTTTTATGGGAACACTATTAATAGGCAAAATTTTTACATTTCAAATTCCTCGCCAGTCTTTTGATGATCTTATATTATTATTATTTAATTATAGCATATACTAAATAGGTGGGGACCCGAACGGGAGTATTTTCGAATTCCTGAGATGACGTCAGTCAGATTTGGTTTGAACCGGTTAATGTTTTCTGCTTCTTCCTTTAATATGTAAATGCAAGGAAGCATGCAGGATCCCATTAAAATCGAAGTTCTCTATTTTTATAGCACCATCTTACACTAGCATTGTAGAGATCGAGGTAAACTATGTATATCTCAACGCTTTGCTTTGCTATTCCTCCTCCTCCTCCTCCTATGTGCTCTAGCAAGGTTGGCGACCAATATGGTAAAGTCGTCCCTATTGTGGGCTTCATGAAGTAGTGTGTTACTATTGGTGTGTGTCCAGTCTCTGATGTTCCTGAGCCACGATTTCTTCTTTCTGCGTATACTTCTCTTATGTGGGATTTAATAATCGTTCGCATATGTGGCTTTTGTACGAGCATTTTTAAAACTTTCCTTGTGTATATATATGTGACTCTTGTAATAATATCGGCAGGATTTCTGAAACTCTTCTTCTACTCTAATCGATGTTCATAATTTGCTCTTTTTACATTACACCATAAGATTATTTTGATGTTTTGCATCATTTTTCATTCGACAATATGAGACTTCAATTTCAAATCTATTTTCTTCTGGAGACTCAACTTGTACTTCTAGCCGATGATCTGATTTTAAATATTTGACGTTTTCACAATAAAATATTATTTTTATCAAATAAACAATAATATTATTTTAGCGGTCCACTTCAAACCCGTTGCGCTGTTTTCTTCTTTTGTTTTAAGTACTTGGTAAACAAACACTCTCAAAAAATTGAGTATAAAAAGGCGGTGAAAAATCAGTTGAGGACAGTGAAGTTCCGAATAACCAAAACCATTATGGCGTTCAAGTTACTAGCTCTAACGATTTGTTTCGCAATTTTACGCGCTGAAAGTTCGCCAACACCAGACGCATCGTGTACCATCAACTCTGTTAACGATGTAGACAGTGTTGTATCGAGCTGTACGTCGATTACTGTGGGTTCTTTTACTGTACCAGCTGGTACGACAGTTATCATGAATTTGAAGCAAGGTTCCACGGTATCATTTACTGGCACGGTTGATTTCGCTTATAAAGAATCGTCGGGCTATCTCCTTGAGATCATTGGAAACTCAGTCACTGTCGAGGGCACAGGAAGTAAGTTATTACATTAATAGTATAAATGTATATTGTGATGCAAAACAGCAACAATTTTTGTTTTACTTTCTGAGATTTGCAAGTAAACCTTAACAAATCTTTCTAGGTCACTTGTTCCACGGACATGGTGAGCAGTACTGGGACGGTAAGGGTGGAGCGGGCACCAAGAAACCAGTATTCATGTACCTAAAGGGTACCGGATCAACTTTCAAGAATTTCAAAATCAAGAACTGTCCGTTGAGATGCGTCGCTATCGATGGATCGAACAACATAGTTGTGAGCGGCTTTATCATCGACAATGCCGAGGGCGCTCCGGTGAGTTTGATTCAATTTTTACATTGATTTTAATTTTCTCTTAACTTCCACCGAAGAAGCCAAATCTTAGCTGTAGTTTGGCGTATCTGAATAATTTAAACATGCTGCTATATAGAAAACGTAATCTCAAATTTTAAAATAGCAAAGAACTAGTGATATTCAATATATATTCAATTGGTATTCCGATTGATAATTAAACTTATAATTCGTAATCATTGTTAAAGGGTACCGCAAAGAGTGGAAAGGAAGGTCACAACACCGACGGATTTGACATCGCCAAATCGACGTACGTTACTGTCAAAGACGCCACTATAACGAACCAGGACGATTGCGTAGCTATCAATAACGCGCAACATGTTACCATTGACAATTTCCACTGCATAGGAAGTCACGGGTTCGACATAGCAGCTGGAATGTCATCCGATTACAATCAAAATATCGTTCAGGACGTTACTTTCTCCAATTCCATTTTAGACGGAGGAATGTACGGATTACACATTTTAGCAGTCAATGATGGAGGCCAAGGCAAAATAGATGACATTAAATACAACAATATTAAAATAAACGGTAAGATTGATTATAATTCTACCTAATTGGCATTCTAGAAAATTGTATCAACACTTTTCAATGTCTCGAACATGCATTGTTTTTGCGATCTTTAAGATTTGATGACTCTTTTTACGTTGCGAACTCCTTCAACATTAATTTTGTTACATAACGTACTGTTCTAATTATATTTTGCTTATTCTTGATCAAGGGCCGTCCGATTACGGTGTGATGATCCAACAAGATTTCTCTAACGCAAAGCAGGGATCTACGGGAAATCCCACAGGAAATGTGCCGATAAGCAATGTCGATATTAAAGGCGTCACCGGAACAATGAACGGACAATACTCGTCGGCTGTAACCATCAGATGTGCGGCGTGTTCGAACATCGTCTTTGAATCTGGTTTTTCGATTACCGGTGCCAAAGCCAAGGACGAATGCAAGAACTTCCAACCTACTGGTTATACGTGTAAAACATAATACTGAGCAATATTAAATACACCTTTTTTAATATATTAACTCTTATTTTTACACCTTGCCAATGCGGAACTTAAAATTATACGTTTTAAGATCTCTGCCTACTTCAATTATCTTTCAACTAACCGAAAATCAAGATATTGTGCCTTATATAACTTTCTGCGTAGAATTCAATGCCGTTTTCGGAATAAGGGTACGGGGTGAAGTTACGGGACATTACTTTATTTGTTTAATGAAGAAGTCTCTACATTTTTACTTTGCTTGTTCAAAATACTTTTTTTAACAATAAGGGGCGAATCATCACAGGAACAGCTAGAACTGTTTGCCATTTTCATTCTTTACTTGTATTCGGACAACTTCTTAATGAGTGGCGTTATGAAGTAGGGTAATTACCTCAAAAAAGTCGAATTGAATAAATCAGGGGGTCCGGGAGGCGAAGTCTGTGCTTTCGACCCCAGCGTTGAGGAAAGTTTTCTTATGTTTTCTTCTTTTCGTCGTGTTGGTAACATATTTTATTAAAATGCGCAAAAGGAACATCGTCTAAGAATTTTAACAATATATCTTGTAGTATATCAAGATAACGATCCCTAGTGATACTTCCTTTAAACTAGGGGATGTATCAAATGTTGATTTTCACAAAGTCTAGTATTACGCCTAATAAATACTTCAGCACTGTATATATGATATACGAGGGGTTAAAAAAATACGCGCCAATTTCATAGAGGTGATTCCTCAAACCATTTTATGAAAAAAAATCCCGTAGGATTTCTGGATTTCTGGAGAAAGTACAAATTGGCAACAAGAAATGCAATGTGATTTGTGCACTATGGCGCACCAGCGTGCTTTAGTCAGAATGCTCGTGAGTGTTTGACACTAATCCTAGTGATAAGATGGACTGACCGAGGTGGACCTCATTTATGACCTGCACAATCCCCGGATATAAACTCTCTGGAACTTTTCCTGTGGGTTCACCTTGGTTTACTTTACTCCTGTGGAAATGTAGAGAACTCAAGAAATCGAATTATTGCTGGAACTCAATTAGAAATGCCTCTGGTATTTTTCACAGAGTTCGACAGTCCATGAGAAGCAGATTGGATTCCTGCATCCCGCCTCGAGATGGTCACTTTCGATCAGTTCTTGTATGCTTTTTGTACTATAACTATTAAGGTATTTTTCGTCAAATTATTCGCAAATATTATTGGTATATTAAAAAATAGTTTTTTGATGACTGAGCATGCAATAAAATAATTTCAACTTTTAATTTCTAAAATGAAGCAAGATATGAGAAAAAATCAAGAGACGGAAAAGTAGTAGTTTTAGTCGCTCTCAGGGAAGTTTCGAAATTAAATTAAAATTGACCCCCTCAAAGGCCCCTGTTTAATTTTAATTTAGTTGAGGCGAAATCAGCATCTTATTACTAGAAACAACGCTGCTAAATTTCATTACAAATCCGTAAGAAGATAACGGAATTAATTTAAGGAAAAACATTATTTTAAGAAAATCTTTAACACCCTGGTTATTAAAAGCAATGTGGCAACTTTTTTCATAAAATGATCTGAGGAATCATCCTCTTAAATATTGCCGCGTCTTTTCTAAACACTCTATATTAGCAGTATTAACGTTTTGTAAAACCAATTGAAGAACCGGATCGTATCCAGGATGTAAGTTTCGCACAACGCTTTTCATAGTTTTTATAGTTTCCTTCCTTTTATCTCTATTTTTCTACAAGAAGTTTCAAGCGTTACATCAACACTAGCCAACAAGTTATTTTCTGTAAATTTTCGAATACTTGGCCGCCTTTGTTCGGGATATCTGTGTTAAAGAAACTGTGGAGACTATTAAAAGACAGAACATACCCGTTGAAACAAAGCTCATAAGCGGCATTTATATATTCATAACACTCTATAAAACACACCCATCATATCATACTGTTCATAGTTTTCAAATATATGATTTGCAGCCATCATAAGACTAAAAATTAGAAAAGTAATTTGCCCAGATAGCTGACAAGGTTTTTTTTTATATCAAAGCCAATCATGGCCTCATTTATTGAAAAATTTACATACGACTATATATTTTTGAAAAGCTGGAAATAAAGTACAATATCATTATATATCAGTATTTATTGTCAAATATTACGTCCACTGTTTGAACACCCAAAGAAAAAAAATGTTCTTAGCTACCAGGGTCGTAATATACCCACCACTACAATTATCTTGGAGGAGACGTCTTAGTGCTAAATAATATTATCTAAAAACTGCGAATAAGTAAAAAAAATCCATTTCGAGAAGATTAATGTAACCATTGCAACATTTCAATTGAAATGGACAGAGCATTCTACAGATTCCCGATATACGTCAATCATCATTCGTCAGTTATGAAAATTTCATTTCGGGTTATATTTGTAATACTTGGGTCAGAAAGAACCACATGTTTATGATTTGGATCTACTACTGAATCCATTAACCAAAAAGAAATTTAAAATTAAGTTATCCAAAATTTTTCTCCCAGAGCGACACTTTAGGCACGAACGGGGAGAACAGAACCATCAGAACTGACAAACATCAAAATTTGCAATCACGAAAAGGAAATTATTCAATGATAATAGGAATTATTTAAAAAAAATGATGATCGGAGATTCGTCAGGAAAACAGCATTCGAAATTCATTCAAAAATAATCACGCATTTAATTCAATAAATGTCTAATCAGATGTGACGTAAAATACTGAAAACTTGCACTCTAAAATGCGCATTACGCAATCGTTATCCCATATACCAGGAGGCCATCACCTCATTTTATTCACGTTAAACAAACACGACACCTTTTTCTTCTTACGTTGACCTGTCTGTCTGTGTTGAGCTGCTCTAAATAGGTCTTCTAAGTTTTATACGTCTAATCCTATACGCGCCCTCCACGTTGGTAAGGCGGTGTTTAGATATTTAGGCCCCCTGTTAATAAGTCTTATTTACTGTTATGGTGTTCATCATGACAAGAACGTGCTCGTTGAAAGCACCATAATAGCTGCACTCGAATGTTCAAACTTGTTTTTAATTGAAACTTTTAACGTCCAAGTCTCACCACGATAAAGTATTAGCGACCAAACATAGCATTTGGGCACTCTTTTTCGAAGGCTTCCAAAATCTAAATGCTTTGCGAGACAACGCGATGCGTCTGATATTGTCTTAATCAGCTGCCCAAGTATTTAAATTTCTCTATTAAGAGGTCTACTGTCTAGTAATAGTTGCGCTTGTCCCACATCTATTGACATTACGATGAGAAGTGTCTGTATATCTGCTAAGTGCTCAGCCAATGTGGCATTGTAGTCGGTATACCTTATGTTATTATGCTTCTCTTATTTACACCCTCGTTTCTACCCACACTGCTTCTTTGAAAATTTCCTCAACCATGTAACACGCCAAACTTAATGGGCGGTTTGATGGTAGCCAGCTGATTACATTAAATATACTTATGATAAATCATATTCGCTTGATCAGAAACCTTTTCAAAGTCTATGAATATGAAGCAAATAAATACGTTTTTCGTGAACTCACATGTCTTGTGAATAAGAAGTCGAATCTTGTCACCCACACAACAATATGTATTGTTTTATATTGTATTATTTGAAGTAGTAACATGAGAGTGTGGCTTATTAGGCTAATGAATCTAAAATCATCGGATATATTTTCTTGAGCAAGGTAAAAAGTGTACCAGTATAATATATCTGGTTGAAGAATTTCGTTAGGAGAATTGTACAATAATTTTAGAAGTTCGCTTGGAATTTACTCGTGAATGCCTTATTCGATTTCGCCAGTTTTCTCACCCTTTGGACTTCTGATCTAAGCATTGAGACATTATTACTATCTTCCTCATGACTGTGTTTAACTTCATCTTTTCCCTTTATTGCAGCGATCTTTGTTGCTTGTCAGGAAATTTTCGTGTTCATCTTTCAGTGATCCATTATATCTGGGTTGTGGAGGTTCATGATTCCTCTGCAACTGTTCAATCTTTTCACCGGATTGCTTCAACCAATGTTCTTCAGCTTGTTTATTTGTCTTCTAATTTCCTTGCTTATCTCTGAGTATTGACAATTATTTTTGTTCTAGTACTAACGTCATTCCATCACGTTTAAGACTATTTTTTGTTTTCCTCGCTGTAGTACTTTTGAGTAATTCTAAGGTGTGTTCAAGAAGCGGTGTCTTGTGATTAACTAGTTCAGGTGCGTACTGCTATTTTCAAAGGCTATTTCATGAATATTGTGTAGTTGCTGATTTACTTTCATTATCAGCTCTTTTCTTAATTGTGTGATAGACAACAATATGCGGTTTTCAATGGTTTCATTTTGGTTTAGTTTATGACTTTGGTTTATGCCTGCACCGGGATAAAATTATAATAGTAATGTTTTGATTCTTTGTGATTTTTAATGTGTCATCTATTTATTGGCAGAGTTCTTCCACTTTATTCTCATTAGCATCAGTCTGTCAGATATCGCATCCTGCGGTCTTAAGGAGAATATTCTTTTAACAATATTAAAATGTTCAATCCTGCAAAAATTGATTTAAATCATACTAACATTCGCGTATCCTAGCTGCAGATAAACATTCGTTATAACCTAGCTGATGGATCTTCTAATAAACATCTACTTGAACTATATGAAAAGTACCAATCACTGTTTACTTACAACGTGTATATGTGACAAAATATTCGCAAAAAGAATACGTGATGCTGATGGTTATCATGGAAAAATATGTTTATATTAAAGGTCTATTAAATTTTACCACTTTTAAACTTCTTTGTGGTTAGTTTTACAACGGACGCATAAGAGGAAGTACTATTAGTAATTGCATTAATCATTATTAATCAATATTTCTGGCACCTTCTGGAAGATTTGTCAAAGATAGAATCTTTATTGTTATATACAGTACCGTTTTATTTTAAAACGATACCATAAAGCAGAAAAAGTTTTAAAAAGGATAATGTCAATTTTTGAAAAACTACAATATTTTCCTTATTATGAGGATA